GTTAATAAATATATTATTTAGAAGGTGATTTACAATAGCACTTCTGTATGCAAGCTCTTTAAAGTCAGAGCTAATAGAAAGATTATAAATTTTTATAAAACAAGTAACACTACAAAATAGTTAATATACACATTACAACACTTATAAAAAAAAATTATCTTATAAAATTTTATATATGAATTAAATCTATAGTACTTTGAGATATATTTTATCATCAAACTCATTCTGAATTATAGAGTTCTGAGTAATAACAACATTGCTTTAAATAAATCTTTGTTGCTTTTTGCTACTTCTTTATATTTAGCAAATAGTAATTTAGTAGTAACATTAGGCATTTGTTAATAGCAACTTGTTTCTCATACTGAAAATATAAAAAGATACTATATATTATACAAAAAAGTGAATAAGTATGAAAAAAAAGTAGTTGCATACTAACTTTGATTTATTTTCTCTCTAAATTGGCATGTCTTTTTTGGATAGAGCTTTTTTAATGTAATTGTATTTATTTTTCTCTAGAAGAAAAATAAATTTGGTTTTAAAACCTGAAGATTCTACTTTTTGATTAATAGTCTGGGATGACAAAGCTACATATAGTAAGTAACTTATTATTAATATTGTAATGCATATATATAAAAACTTTATAATTATATACTAATTAATTATACTGTTGTTATGCTTCTTCTCAATATGTTCTTTAATAAAAATAAGAAATTGTAATTAAGAGTTTTGCTAGAAAATTTCAGTATATGAATTTCAAACAAACTTAGTAGTTAATACTAGCTAAGATGTCAAGTAATTGTCTAGATATTGAAGAAAATAAAATTACTAATCTTCTTCAAGAATTATATCTTCTTGAGACTTGTGTTTTTCTATTAGAGAAATTTTATAGAAGTTATATGAATTAGATCTTATAAATTTACAAATTTATATAAATGGATTTTATTGTAAATTTTTTCAATTTATAGCCAAAGCAAATTTTTAAACATTATATATGTTGTGTCTAGAGTTTCAACTCTGAGATTTCTAACTGAACATGATAATAGACTAGGAAAACCTGCCTTTGACAGCTAGTCTATTTACTATTTGATATTCTGGTTGTTTGATAAATAACATTGCATTTAATATTATGTCAACCTTGTTATAAAATTAGTTAGATACCATTAATATCATAACTTATTGCCTTATGTTTAGCTTATGATAAAATTATATAGTTTATTAAAGTACTTTTAAAAAAAAATAAAACTACAAAGAATAAACAAAAAAAGAAGTATATAAAACATTTTATTTAAGTTGTAGGACTCCACTAATAAAAATAATCAAAATCTTTTTTTGTTTTAGAGAAGTTAACCTAATTCTATAAGTTACTATTATGTTAACTTCTTTAAAACAAAAAGGGATTTAGATTATTTTTAATAGGAGTCCTACAACCCTAATAAACCATTCTATATACTTCTTTTTTGTAATTTTTTTTTTTAAAAAAGTACTTTAAACTGTATAACTAGGCGCTTGAGTTTTTTAAAGGGAGTTAGAACAGATTATACTATATTACATTGTATTATAATTTATAGCAAAATAGATAAAGCTTTGTATTCTTTGAATATTGTTAATAGAAAAAAATTTGCAAAAAATTGATTTTATTTTATAATCCTACAAGAAAATACAACTTCTATACTACAAAATTTTTACTAATATAAACGTATCTATTTTTTTTAAGTAAAAACGTCTCAGGGTTAATTTTGGATAAGTCAAGCTTAAAAAAGAAATTTGTCGAAAAAATTGTTGTTCGGTCTCTATTTTCCAACACCTAGCCCAAGTTATATTTGATTATTGATAAATTGCTAAATTGTTTAAAGTCGACATTAGTCCAACGAAGATTCAAATCCTTCAGCGTGGTGTTTTTATAAAGTGCATTTGCAAATGCTTCACCTGCTTCCGATCCAAGTTTATTACCAAAAAGATTCAAAGAAATTAGCGTTGTGTTATTGCAAAGTGCATCCGCCAATGCTTTTCCTCCTTCTGATCCAAGATTATTACGACCAAGATTTAAAGTAGTCAGTGTGGTATTTTTGCAAAGTGCACCTGCTAATGCTTTTCCTCCTTCTGATCCAAGATTATTACGACCAAGATCTAAAGTAGTCAGTGTGGTATTCTTGCAAAGTGCATCTGCTAATTCTTTTCCTCCTTCTGGCCCAAGATTATTATTTTTAAGAACCAAAGAAATCAGCGAGGAGTTCTTGCACAGTGCATCTGCCAATGTTTTTTCTTCTTCTAATCCAAGGTCATTATGGCCAAGATTTAAAGAAGTCAGTGTGGAGTTCTTGGAAAGTGCATCCGCTAATGCTTTTCCTCCTGATCCAAGTTTATTCTCTTCAAGATTCAAATCTTTTAACGTGGTGTTTTTGCAAAGCGCATCTGCAAATGCTTTTCCTTCTTTTGATTCAAGATTATTCTTCCAAAGAACCAAAGAAGTCAGCGTAGTGTTCTTGTAAAGTGCATCTGCTAATGCTCTCCCTCCTTCTGCTCCAAGATTATTGCCATAGAGATTTAACGTTGTTAAGGACGTGTTCTTGCAAAGTGCATCTGCTAATGCTTTCCCTCCTTCTGCTCCAATATTATTACCATAGAGATTTAACGCTGTTAAGGAAGTATTCTTGCAAAGTGCATCTGCTAATGCTCTCCCTCCTTCTGATCCAAGATCATTGCCATAAAGATTTAACGCTGTTAAGGATTTGTTCTTGCAAAGTGTATCTGCAAATGCTTTTCCTCCTTCTGATCCAAGGTTATTGCAGGTAAGATTCAAATGTTTCAGTGTGGTGTTTTTGCAAAGTGCATCTGCTAATGCTTTTCCTCCTTCCGAACCAAGGCGATTATTAGTAAGGTCCAAAGAAGTCAGTGTAGCATTATTGCAAAGTGTATAAGCTAATGATTTTCCTTCTTCTGAGAAAAGATGATTATCTCCAAGATTCAACGAAGTTATAGTAGTGTTCATGCAAAATGCATAAGCTAATGCCATTCCTCCTTTTGATTCAAGTTTATTATGCTCAAGATTCAAAGAAGTCAGCGAGTTGTTCTTGCAAAGTGCATCTGCTAATGCTTTACCTCCTTCTGATCCAATACTATTAAAATAAAGATCCAAATGCTTCAGGGTATTGTTTTTGCAAAGTGCATCTGCTAACGCTTTTCCAACTTCTGGACCTAGATCATTAAATTTAAGATCCAAAGAAGTCAGTGTGGCGTTCTTGCAAAGTGCATCTGCTAAAGCTTTTCCACCTTCTGACCCAAGATTATTATCCTTAAGAACCAAAGAAGTCAATGAGGAGTTCTTGCACAGTGCATCTGCCAATGCTTTTCCTTCTTCTAATCTAAGGTCATTATGGCCAAGATTTAAAGAAGTTAGTGTAGAGTTCTTGGAAAGTGCATCTGCTAATGCTTTTCCTCCTGATCCAAGTTTATTCTCTTCAAGATTCAAATCTTTCAATGTGGTATTTTTGCAAAGTGCATCTGCTAATGCTTTTCCTTCTTTTAATCCAAGATCATTCTCCCTAAGAGTTAAAGAAGTCAGAGTGGTGCTTCTGCAGAGTGCCTCTGTTAACTCGTTAAAATTTTCTAATCTAAGATTACAAGAAAGATCCAAGGTTGAAGCATTTTTTTGATCTTCGGGAATTTTTTCATAAAGTTCAAACGCCTTAAGAAATTCGCCTTTAATGAAACATCTACGCATTTCCTCTCTAAATTTCTGAAGGGAATTATTGTCCTGTGCTGAAATGCTTGGATTCAATGTACTAATTTCATTTGAAACTGTAGTAGAAATATTGCTTTCACTTGAAATTGCAGTAGAAATATTGCTTTCACTCGAAATTACAGTAGAAATATTGCTTTCACTCGAAATTGCAGTAGAAATATTGCTTTCACTTGGTGATGTAATACTTTTTTGAGGAATTGCGATATATGAAATAACACGTGGAGGTAAAATAGTTGAAGTAATAGCTCTATTTGGAGCTGCTAGTTTTGACACGATATCTTTCCATAAGTTAGGTTCAAAAATTTGATGATACGGATATAGCTTATCCATAACGTCTTCACCGGTAATTTGAAAGTAGCGAATATGAGGTAAGCAATTTTTGAGTGTATCCTTTAATGTTAAAAAATTTGCATTAGACCATTGTGCAGGATCAGAATCAAAGTCAGGATTTTGAGTAATTCCCCATCTGATAACATAATCCCAAATTTTTCCTTCATCCATATTTAAATCATCAAGTTTTAAAAGAGAGACCAAGGTGCTTTCTAAAAGGTTCACAAAATCTTCAGAATCAAAAATATTATTTGGATGTTTAGCAATAGTATCGTTACAAAACTTTTGTAAAGTATTAAGATCGCAATCAAAACTTATTTTATAAACTTTAGCAAAATTTTGATGCATCCACGATGCATGATTTTGAATTAATTGCGCTTGAGCAGCATTTCTCAATTCTTCAAGATAAAATTCATTAGCGGTAGTTAGAAGATCAAAGGTTGTAGGCGCATCAACTTTATTGAATTGAATGATGCCACCGTAAATATATCTAAAAAAAAAATTAAAAATTAAAAATAAAAAATAATAAATAAAAAATTTTTGAATCGTATATTCGTATAAATTTTATGGATTTTATGATATCATAACAACATACTTAATAATAATTTCAAAAACATTAACAGAAATATGAGGTGTACTGATTTTTTTAATATTTTTTTCATCGTAATTTGTCTTATTTAGCTCTTCGCGAAGATAAAAGCTTCGAGAGTTCAAAATAATTGAATGAACTTTAAATATTCGATGGTTTGGCATTTGGCCGACTTCAATTAATACATTAAAGTCTTCACCATTTTCAAGAAGATTTGTCAAATCGCTAGAAAGTTTTTTAAAGTATTCTACAGCCATTATGTAATAATGAGTAAGGAGAAAAGTCGAAAGAACAATTAATGATAAAAATACGCATGTAATATACTTACCGACAATCGGTATGAAAAGAGATCCAGCAGATCATTATGGTACGGATGACCAGAATGGTATGGGATGCACAGTAAGGTTGCGACCCGAACCTTTTTACGGCATTACTACTAGTTTGGGAATCGGCATTTCTACTTAATTTGGGTTCATAATATCACGGTTTAAAATTTTATCCCTAATAGGGCTATATCATGATCTGAGTCATAAGAAAATTTGTGATTGTGATTGTGATTGGATTGTGAGAGGCGGAGGCTCAAAGATACAGATCTATACCGACGGTTATTTATCTAACGTACGATAAGCATTAGATAAAAAATATTAATCGTATAATGTGAGATAAAGTGGCTATTGTTGATCAAGTATTGTTGGATAATCAAGTCATTGTTGGTCCTGGTTGTGGGATATACGCAATTATTGTTGGAATAGCAACAATTGTTGTTGGTCAAAGCTATGGGAATTGTGCAGCTTACACACAACGTTGCTTCACAATGTTGTGGTTACAACAGTTGCGAAAGGTTGTAGCGCAGTAAAAATTAAAATGTATTTAAAGTCTGAGTTTCACATAAATAAAGGTTCATCGGAGAACTCGATGTCTGGATTATAATAAGAATCGGATTCTCACGTGTATATTGAATGGATTTATTAATCCCCCACCAGTTCCTATCGGACGAATGCAAATATCGGTTCTCATTGACGAAATCACATCATTACTCGGTTAAAAATCCAGACTGTCTTGTTCTTTTTAATTTAATGCATTTATTTTAAAAAAAAATCTATTAGTAAATAATCTTGAAAATTAAACAATTTTATCAAATATTGTTTGTATCAATAGCTTTAATTGGTATCAATTCTTTTTTGTTTGATGAAAAAGTAAAACTCTCAGCCAAGAAAATGGTTTAAATAGGGTTTGTATGTTTTAAATTACAAGAAAGTTTATATACGTAGGTCTCTCGTAAATTTATTCTTAAAAATAAAGTATCGGACGTATCGGGCAAAAACTTTATGAATAATTTCTTGGTTGTGTCGAAGCATTATTTTCATTAATGATTTCGGTTATTTTCAATTTATTTTTACTAGCAAAAAGATAAAAATTATTGAAGAACTTATGTTTTGATTAATTTCGATTTATTTTTACTAGCAAAAAAAAAAAAACTCGGGAAAATGCATAAATAAACACTTTCACTTCATTTCGCAAATAGAAACGTTATTATTATTATTATTATAAGAAGCGCAACGGCAAAACATTGTCTTGATCCACCTGACCTATTTTTATAAACCCCAAATAATAATAATAATAATAATAATACAAAAAAATTTATCATGGGTATTATGAGTCAGGATAACAAGAAAGCATATCACACATTACAAATAATTTGATATTTAAATAGATACTAAGTATCTGCATATAGTTCTTTTCAACAGTCTGTTTAAAAAGTATGTACGCACTCATATGATTACATGCTTCAAATTAAAATGAAAATTTCATGTGTGATCTGCAAGTGCGAACATCGATTTTTTTTATACTTTATCCTTAATATTTAATTAGAAAAGTTATATTAAAGTAATTAAGATAATATATGAAATTAAAATTTAAGAAATTTTACTTGTGAATTGAAATAGGGTTGCCTTAATAAATTTTTGAGTTATTGATGTTTTTTAAAAATCATAAATTTGTTCAAACTCCGTCCCAGCATTGTCCAGTGTACAACACTACTCGCAATAACCAAAGCCCAAATATATATCTCATTTCAGTAAATAGTATCAAGCTCAAAAACCACCAATTTATAAATAAATTTACAAACATAGGATGTAATTGTTCGGAAAGTAGCTGAGGATATCTATGGAGCGTGATAGACCAGAATTTGAGAGATCTTGTCCGCACCTATTTTTAGCACGGTGTTATAATTGGACCAAAAGTGCAATTATTTAAAAAAATTTAAAATTTTGAAATTTGAAATTTGAAAATTTTAATGAGACGATTCAAAATAATATTAAGAACAGTAGGTACTAAATTACCTGGCTTGTAGGTTTTCCCTTGGCAACCTCATGTATAGTTTGTTATGCCAACCGAATTTTACTTGATAATTAAAAAGGTTAATTGATTAATAAAAACTAAGATTTAGCTTTAAATAAATTTTTAAAAAGTGTCACAATAATATGGTAGGGTATTGTATTATAACATTTTATAGTTATCGTGCACGAAGTGCACGATAACTAGTTACAGGCAGATTTATACTCGGATCACATGGCCTTCGGCCA